CAAGCAAAAGATGAAATGTTGAGATGAAAGAAACCTTGAACACTTCCAAAGGATTCATAACCTTGAAATGTTATCTACATCAAAATTTGAGATGATCTAATCATCTAAGATGAGAAAGGTTATATATGCAAAACTTTCATCTAATCTTTCTGATTCATTACAGCACAAAGCTCTTAATTTCAAAATGGTTCCATTCAGAAAGCTTATGAGTAACATGGCTATGAGCGAGATTGAAGGACGGAATCTGACCTCAAGACGTCAGAAAAGAATTGGTTTATCCCTGAAATTCTACTATCTCTAGAGCAATTTATTTTTTTACAGTTAGGATTGAATAGTAAACTCATCAGACTTCTCGGAAATTCAGTTTTCAATTGCATACTGTATCATAATATATAGTTCATGATATATAAATGTATGAATAAACGTTCATAATCGGGTAACCTAATGTAACACAATGCGAAAGAGAAGGAACACTATTTTTATGGAAGTACCTAAACAGCTGATATACAAAAGCCTAAAAATATTAAAAAAGAAAACTATAACAAAACATACACAAAGAGACAGAGCTGTGACTAAACACAGAATATTATAGATAATAATTCTTATGAAGGTCATATTTTGCGTAATTCAACTCCTTCACTCCCTCTTTGCTAGGAGAACCATCAACAATAGCAATTGGGAACAGAACTGCCAATTACGTATCGATTGCTACTGTTACTAGGAATTTCACATTATTGAAGTGAAGGCACATAAACGTGCACGAAATCTCTAGGGACACGAACGGAAGAGGAGAAATGTGGCAAATGCACACGCACTAAAAGTAGTAACAGAGAGCAAAACTAGCAAACTGGTTTCTCAGTCGAGAACGGGTAATATATTCTCTTTGAAGAGAATATTCTTTTGAGCGATCTTTCAAATGAATATTTGGAGAGTCGAGACGAAAAGTACATAAAAGTAAAGGAGATAAAGCAACGAAGAAGAGATTCAGGAGATAAATGAGGTATAGATTTGCTCAAGTCGCCTTCGCTTGAGTGATTATCGATGTTACGATATTTATCAGTTTCTTGAGTGTTTCCTTGCTGCATAATCCATAAAATATTTTTAGAAATGGAAGCCAAGGGTTACAGTGAAAACGTCTTGAATCAAAGCAGGATGCCTTTAAAACATGCAAAGCAGAAAAAAGTCTAGGATTTCTTCCATTACGACGAAAATAAAATCTTAGGCTTTTCGCAGATTTCACTAAAACCAAGGTCTAAGCTTCATCAAATTTTACTATTTTGAGTTCACTTAATTCAAAATATTCTATTTAACTTACATCTACATCACCAACAGATATAGGACCTAAGCTATGCGATAAGAGGCCAACGAATGAGTTGAACACCTGACGGAACCAAGA